GGCGAGCCAACCCCCCTGTCCTTCTGGGGGCCTCCCCCTCCCGCCTCTCCTGCCTGGCCACCCAGCCATCCCAGCCCCTGGACCCCACATCGCCGAGTCCCTCCCCCTGCGCTGGCCCCCAGCAAACTCCTCTTCTTCCTGGCCCAGCTCCCATGCCGCCTCCTCCGGGGAGCCCCCCAAGCCCTGGCCTCGCTGCTCCTGGGGTCTTCCTTGAGGTCTGAGCGCCACCACCACAGCCCAGGGCCGGGCCTCAGGCTTCGTGATGCCAGTGGGAGGTGCCCTGGCGGATGCCGCCCGGCCCGCCACTCTGGACCCTTCCCTCTTCCTCCTCCGCACTGTCAAGGTCCGTTCCGCAGACGGGCCGGGGGTGGTGGTATGACCAGGGCTGTCCAAGCCGGGAAGGGGCTGTGCCCAGCAGGTGCGAGCAGGGCATGAGAGGCCACCCTCCTCGGACCTGGAGGGTCTGCCCATCCACTTTCATCATTCAACACGTATTGAGCACCTCCTGTGTGCCAGGCCCTGGGCCGAGCAGTGGGAACCCAGCAGTGAGGTTCTGTGGGGAGTAGGGCACTGACCCACCCATCACATAGACAAATACATAAAGTCATACAGGGGCTGCCCAAGCTGCGTATGGTCAGGGAGGGCTTCCTGGAGGAGGTGACACTCCTGCCGTGGCTCCGGAGGACGACTTGGCCAGGAGGGGAGCAGGGAGAGGAAGCAGCATGGGCACCACTCGGTGAACCCCCACCTGCAGGATGACGATCAGGAGGAAGTACAGGTTGGACACGCGGTGGAACTGCTCGTACAAGTTCCGAGGCAGGAAGGAGAAGAAGTTGTACTTGGCCGTGCGGATGATGTTGGTCTGGAATGAGAGCCAGCGCTTGGCATGGGGGCGCGAGGCTGGCCCTGCCCCACCTGGGCCCCCACTAAGTAAGCATCTGCTGGGCCAGAGTTTATCGAGCACCTGCTGAATGCAAAGTCTTGGAGCCAGGATTAATTATCTACTGAATGCAAAGCCATGAGCCAGCATTTACTGGGCACCTACTGAGTGCAAAGACTCACTGAGCTGGGATCCCCAAGGTAGATACCAGGAGGGATTTGGGTGGGGGAGCCCTGAGGGACACACTGTCCTTTAATGTGCAGTGGGACAGGGCAAAGGAGACGTAACTCCCCCACACCAGAGGCGAGGTGAGCACAGGCATGTGCCATGGTCCTCACTGTGCAAGTAACACCATGGAACAAACTCAAGGCCAAGTGCCGGGGCCGAGCCTGGCGGCTCTGGGGGCATGTGAGGGGCTGCCCACCTTGTACTTCTGCCTGTGCCAGCACAGAAACACCTTCTCCTTGAACTGCCAGTGGTAAGCACGGCTGTTGGCCTTTACGTCCCAGGTGAACGCTGCGGTGAGGGCAGAGCCGGTGTCGCTGGAGAGCCAGGCCCAGGACAAACACCTCTAACGACACCCCAGGGGAGGGCTTACGGGGCCAAGGGACCCAGCTGGGGATGCCCAGCTCCTGGTCAGAGACGCAAGCCGTAAACAAACAGGAGGGGCCTGCCCGGCCCCTGCACATAGTAGGTGGGTCTGAAGACACCCCCTGGCCCAGCTGTGGGCCAGTCCCTGGACTCAGAGGACAGGTCCTGGGACACCCACTGAGGTCCCCTCGTTTTGCAGATGGGGTGAACTGAGGCCCACTGATGGGCTCTGGGGCGACCAAGGCTACACACGCAGCTTGGGCAGCCCCTGTATCCCGACCACTTGTAACCACACGGGAACCCCAGGCAAGGCCCCTCATGTGGGTTTGGGGGTGGCCTCCCCATCCCCTCCCTCCTCCCTCCTGCCACGTCCCAGCCTCAGCCCAAGATGTGCACCTGTGTTCTCGTTACCATCTTGGAGATCTTCTGAGTAGGTAAGACCCCCCATGCTGGTGGGACTGCGGGGGGAAGAGGGACCCTGGGTCACGCGAGTGGCCCCAGCCCTGGCTAGAGGAACGCCATCTACTCAAGGCCTGGGGGCAAATGTCATCTCCCACGCTTGTCCCTGCCTCCTCCCTGGGCTCAGAAGGTCCAGCCACTAGCTGTGTATCCTGCCCTGCCCGGACACTCTCAGATGCAGGGGTCCCAGCTGATCCCCAAACCTGCAGCAGAGCTGGACACGCCAACCTCTGGCCACTGCTCCCACTGCCCACCTCGGCCTGGTTTCACTGCAGCCCTCCTGCCTTCTGCCCCACCAGTACCCAATTTGTTGACTGAATGAACCCCAGGGTGAGATGTTATCCGAGGGGCAAGCTGCTCTAACAGGTCTGAGTATGGCCTCAGGACTGCTCGGGGCAGGGGACTGTCACCAGGGAGGGAACCTTCTCCACTAACAAGTTCAGGAATTTGAGGGGGCCCTGGGCAGCTCCCCTGCGCCCTGCCAGCACCCTCCCGGCCAGGCCTCCGGCCAGGCTGTTCCCTCTGCCAGGCCATGTCCTCACCCTTCGGGTCTCAGTTCATACTTCCCAGCCCGGCCAGGCTGGGCCTTGCACCGCCGCTGGGCGCCCCTCTTGCTCCCGCGGTCTCCCATCCCAGCTCCGGAGGCTTCGGCTCCTCCACTCTCTCCGTCTGGTCGCCTACCAAAGCCGAGCGCCCAGGGCGGGTGTCTGAGTCACCGGTGTCCCCGGGGCCTGGCGGGGGCAGGGCTGGCCCTGGCTCCTGGGAGGCTGGGCGGGGCCCGCGCCCATTCGGCAGATGAGGGAAACTGAGGCTCCTTGTCCAGAAGGGGCGGAGTCGCGTTGTGGAGGGGAGGCTGGGGCGGGCAACCGAGGCAGAGACAGCCATGGTGCTAACCTCTATCCCGCCCCCGCTGGTCCGACCAGAACCCCCTTCCCGGAGGCCCCCGGCGCTCCGCACTCTCCCGGGCCCGACCGCACAAACCTCCAGGGAGCGCTCTCTCGGCCGCCGCTGCGGCGCCGCAGCCCTCAGCCCGGGCGGAGCCCAGAGAGGTTGCGCGGGCGCCCGGGGACGCACAGCAGCAGTGGAGGCGCCCCGGATCACATGAACGGGCGGGGCGGGCGGGGCCGGGCTGCCTGGGGCGGGCCGCCGGTATCCAGGATGGCCGGCGTGCTGCCACCCTTAGTCCCGCGCCAACCGTCTTGGAACCCGCGACGCGGGCGGGCCGGGGACCCGGGGAACGGGCCGGGACGTGGCCCAGTGGGGTTGGGCGGGGCCGCGCCTGGGGCGGGACCCGAGGGCGTGGCCAGGGAGAGGGCGGGGCCGACAGAAGCCTTGAAGAACGGGCTGGGGTGGGGGTGGGGCATGGGCAGGGGCGGGGTCGGGGGAAGGCGGGGCCAGAGACCTTTGCATAACAGACTGGGCTGGGGGCGGGGCCAAGGTAGGTGGTCGACAGGGGCGGGACGTAGGGGCGCGGTCAAGGTAGAAGGCGGGACCAGAGGAGCCTTGCAGAACAGGAAGAGAGGGGGCGGGGCCTCGGGGCGCGGCCAAGGTAGGGGCGGGTCCTAGGATGGTGGGCGGGGCGAAGGCAGAAAGAGGGGCGGTGTCAGGTTAGGGCGTGGCCTGGATAGACAGGGGCGGGGCCGAGGTAGAAGGCAGTGCCGAGAGGAACTTTGCAGAATGCCCGAGAGTGATGGGAACTCAGGGGCGGGGCCAGGATAGGGATGGTTCGAGCCTCTGGGGCGGGGCCACGGTAGAAGGCGTGGCCGGACGGAAGGGGCCTTCCTGAGCACGGTCAGGGTGGGGACCTGACGGCGGGGCTAGGGAAGGAGGCGGGGCCTTGGGGGTCTGTGGAGCAGCAGGGCGGGGCTGGGGCCTGCAGGGAGCCCGGGGTGTGTCAGGGCAGGGCGGGGTTCGGGGGTCTTGTAACGCAGGGCTTGGGAAGGGCCAGAAAGGTCTGGTCAGGCCAGAAAGACCACACAGACTGGCCGGAGTGTAGGTCTGCAGGGCAGCGTGGGGCCAGGGAGGAAGGACGAGCAGGGAATCGCAGGTAAGAGGGGCATGTGTGAGGTCCATGCCCCTGGATCTGTCGCTCATCCATCCCATACATGTTAAATGAACGCCTGCTAAGTGCAGGTGCAGTGCTGGGCGCCCAGCTGGGGTTACAGCCTCTGAGCCCATCCGGAGACCAGGGGGAAGCCCACGGGGTCCTGTCCAGAGCGGCACCCACCCAGCTAGCCCAGAAGGGCTCGGGGCAGGGCCTTCCTGGAGGACTTTCTCCCCTCCAGAAATCTGTGCTCAGGCGTCAGACTTGGGCCCCCAGGTGCTGGGGCTGAGGGTCCCTCAGCATCTCTGTTCCATGAAGCTCTTCAGCTTGGCTTTTTTCTTTCTTTTTCCTTTCTTTCCTCTTTCCTTCTTTCTTCTTTGAGACAGGGTCTCACTATGTCACTCTGGCTGGAGTGCAGTGGCATCATCATATGTCATTGCATGCTCCAACTCCTGGGCTCAAGTGATCCTGCTGCCTCAGCCTCCTAAGCCGCTGGGACGACAGGTGCCCAACGCCACACCGGCCAGTGTGTATACTTTAAATGGAAATTGAAGGCCTCAGCACCCCTGAGCCTCCCCTCACCAAGCCAGAACAATTCACAAATGGAGTCCACTCAGCTGAGGCTGCTTGGAGTTGTGTGTGTGCTGCAAACTTTGTGGCTTTTGCTGGCAGGGTGACAGGCAGCTCTTGGTGGGCTGGGGTGCCCACCACTTCCCTAGGACATGCAACACGAAGCTTCCCTCCTGGTATCCTTAAGTCGCCTGACAGTCTCTGGGCACTCCTATCCCCGCCGCCGCGAGAGAGGCTAACTCCATTCCCAGGGCCCAGCCACCGTCCCTCAGAGAGGGGCTGGAAGCTGACAGGCTGCAGAGGTGCAGCCAACCAGGGCTTCAAACTGGTTTTATGAAGGCGAACAAGATTCCATTTGTTTCCCCACATTGGCAGGGAAGAGTGGGTCCTGGCCACAGGGACAGTGGCCTCACAGGGTGCGTCTTGTCTGACAACAAGACCACCACCACAGCAGTGAAATCTAAAATCCATACAGACATTTATTCGGTTCCTGCCCAGAGGTGTGGGGAGGAGGGATGTGGGAGTCCCCCACAAAAGGATGGGGCTCCGATGGAAGACAATGTCTGAGGTCGCAGAGGTCCAGGTGGGCAGGTGGCGGCCAGTTTGGAAGCCAGCCGCCCAAAGGCAGACCCGGCCATCTGGGGCCCAGAGGTCCAGGCTCACACTGGGCCAGGATCTGGCTCATGCCCACCCCAGCCCCCTGTAGGGAAGGCAGCAGCGGGCCTGTGATCCCCCCGGGGCTGGGGTGGCCCCTGTGCAAGTTGTCAGGTTTAAATTAAAAATAAAAATAACAAGTCAAAATAAAAAAAGACATTGCCTGTCTCAAACAAACCAAGACAACACCCTGCCCACCCAGGCCCCCATGCCACGTAAGGAGGACGGGATTGGGACCTGGCGGTGGGTGCTGGCAGGGGCTGGCAGGCATAGGTGGGGCCAGTCGGCTGAGCAGCAGTTGGAGGGACAGAGGTGTAGGGGCAGAGAAGAGGGGCCACAGCAGGGTCAGGCCTCCAGGGTTGGTCTCTGCTTTTTGTTCTCTCATGCCACAGCCTGGTGGCTCATCTTGTGGAGGTGGGACTGGCTTGGGGCTGCCCCTTCCCCACTAGAGAGAGGGAGAGAGAGAGAGAGGATAGTGAAGTCAGTGTTTTCTTCTTGAACCAAAGATATGTATGGAGTGTTCTCTTGTCCTTATCAACTGGCTGTTCTCCCCACTTTTTAAGCAGCTGGATCTGAGTGATGCTTCTAAAACATTTGAGTGTTGGGGCAGAATCCTAAAAGTAAAAATGGTCCCCATTCCTGCTCAGCAATGAACCCTCTCCCTAATACACACATGGAGGCACAGACATGGAGGCACACACACGCTGGCACACGCATGCATACACATGCAGACACACACATGCAGGCACACATATGCACACACATGCAGGTCCACACACAATGCAGCCCCACATGCAGGCACACATATACATACATGCAGGCACACATGTGCACACATGCATGCACACATAGGCAAGCACACATGGGCATACATGCACACACGTGCAGGCACACACAGACACATGCACACATACTGGATCCTGTTCCTTTTGTGGTGTACCTGGGGGCTCGATTCCAAGAGGCTCCTTCCTCCCACTGCCCACTAAAACCTGGGCCCAGTTGTGGTCTGTCCCCACTCCTGAGTTCCCGACATGGATCGGGAGCTCTCCTGCCCACTGGACATATCCTCTGGGCCCAGCAGGCCCGGGCCCATGAAAACATTTAAATTTCTTTCAATATCAGAAATGGGGGGAGAAAAAACAACTTTCAGGTGGTAGAAACCTTTTATAGACCATATTAATATATTTGTCTCCATGCCAATATGGTGTATATATGCACTTCATGGAGGAAGAGACCCACAAAGGCAGTGAGGTGCATCAGGGCCAGGGGGGTCCCACTGTGGCCCCGGCCACATCACCTTCTTAGGTAATCCATGTTGGGGGGTCTTTGACCACAGGGCAGTGGCCAGTGGGGGACGGAGTTTCCTGGGCACCCTCTGCTGGGGGAGTCCCTGGCCAGTCCTTGGCCTCGAAGGCCCAACGGTCAGGTGGGCAGGGCCCCTTTTTTGTCCCCTGCTAGGAAAGTATAAGCTCTGGATCCTTTTAGATGTGGAACATTCTAGTTATGATGAATTGTGGTCGGGTTGGACCAAGCCCCAATGTCACAGCCTGGAACTCCTGGATCCTATTCAAACACCTTCATATCACACACACACACACACACACACACACACACACACACACACCAGCTCCTGTTACCCCCCAGCCCCCCAGTGGGCTGTCACCCCAAGCTGCCCCCTGCCCCACCCCGCCACCCCCAGACCCAGTCGGTTGACACATACCAAAGAGCATTTTCCACACGGGGAATGATACCTCCGGCACAACTCCTTTGAGCTTTTGACAATTTTCTCTGAAATACCTCAAAATATTTAATGTATAGTTTATGTTTAGAAAAATCCTTAGCTAGTTTTTGGAATGTGTGACTTGAAGCTGTATACCGTTAAATTATAATTTTACAGACGATGGCATGTCATGTGTTTGACGAGTCCCTCGGGAGAGACGTATTGAATGTCAGGGTGGCGGAAGCAGAGCGCTGGTGGCCTGGGAAGGAGTCAGGAGGGAATGTGGTGGCCACAGATTGAGAGCAAGGACTGGCAGCTTTACAGATTTCTTATTTAAATGAGGCCTTTAGGAAAGGGGAGGGGAGAGAGAGAGGGGGGGAGAAAGGGAGAGAGAGGGTTACTTTTCTGTTTTCTGGTTTGTTCAGTTTTCTTGGTTTTCGGAGTCATGTCTTAAAGAGTATTTATTTATTATTCTATGTGTTCAGTCTTCAAATGTAATTTAAGGAAAAAAAGGAAGAAAAATGAAGCAAAAAAAAAAAAAGACACGGCGGGATTAGATATGGTGCATGACTAATGTACTCTTTCCTGATGCTAATGTAACTGTAACGGGTGGTTGGGGGATGACGTTGTGTCTGTTGCTGTCCCACTTTCTGAAAAACCATGTCCAGCTGGTGCCAGGGGGAGCAGAGCCCCAGAAGACAGGAAAGTGGGAACAGGCAGCCAGCAGGGTGGGGTACCAGGGTGTCCTCCACCTCCCAGCACCCCAGATGCTGCCCACCTGCCTGTGGTGGTTGGCCACGCAGGGACCGCTAGCTGCCCCCAGTCCCCGTTCTTGGGTGCCCCTGCAACGGGGCATTGTCAGCCGAGCTTCTTTCAGGAAGCAGACTCAGGGTGCAAAGGCCTGGCCCAGGGAAGTACTCAGTGAGCGATGACATGACCCTGGGGTGGGAGCTCGGACCCCAAAGGAGGAGGGGCCACAGGGTTCTTGCATGGTCCCTGCCTGTCTGCCCCATTCCGCTGTAGCCATCAGGAACCTGACTTAGTCCTGGGTGTGGGAATCGGAGACCTCTATGCTGGTATGGGTGGAGCTCTGACCCTCGGTCTCCTCCTCTGAAAAATGGGGTTCTGCCCTGCAGGAGTGCCGAGGCAGCTGGACCAGGCCACCACCTAGGGAGAGCCTCCTTGCCTAGCACCTGGGGTCTCCCTGATCCAGTGGGAAGTGCCTCTCTCTGACCCTGTCCCTTCATGGGGTAACATAGTGGGGGCCAAGTTCTGGGGCTACCAGGACAATTAGAAGAGAGGATGGCTGTGGCTGCCTTCTACTGAAGCTAAAGCCTTTTCCTAGACATCAGGGACAGACAGGAAAAAGGGAAAAGATGGTGCTTGGGTGTCAGGAGGAAGGAGGCTGTGGCCCAAGTAAAAGATTGTGCTCTTGAACCAGTTAGAGTAGTTTGCCTTTGCAACAAGACAAGAAGAAAACCTGTCCACTTGCCTTTGCAACAAGACAAGAAAACAAAACAAAACCGTCCCCCCTTCACTGGGCTGCAGCAAACAGTAACTGTGTTCACACTACCTGGGGGAAACACTCCAGCTGGACAATAAGAGACTGCCAAGGGGTGGAGTGTGGATGGCCAGCCTGTCCCACCATGTGGGTCGGCAGCCCGGGCACACGGCTGCCTTTCTGATGAAACGATGATGTGATCAAAGGCGTCTGTGTTACTCTTAAATTTAACACCGTTAAATAAAGTGCCGCAGCAGGTTTTGTAACAACAGTAACAAGACAACCCCAAATCCCAGCTTTTACCAGCTTTTGCCCTGATTTTGGGGACAGGAAACAGAGGCCCAGGTGGGGTGCGCAGGACGGCCACCTCGCACCAACGCCTCTCACCTCGGAAGGATGCCATCTTCCTTGTGTTGGTCAGCTTGTGGTGGGTGACCATCAGGGCCTGTCTGAACTTCAAGTTGGTCTCTCTGGCGAAGGGGAGGGGAGGAAGGGGAAGAGAAAGGTGAGAGGGGGAAGAGAGAGATGTTACCCCGATGCAAGCAGCCCCTGGCCCCCTTTCTCCAGAGTCATGCAAACATTTTCACTGAACACCTACTATGCGCCGGCTGCCAATCAAAAGGCTGAGGCCCAGAGAGGTAGAGGACCTTGCTCAGGGCCACCTAGCATATTGACAATGGCCCGTGGTGTAGGTCTTGGCCTTCCCACCCTAAGGCGCACACAGTGGGGCCTGCAGAAATGCAGGAGTATCTGAGACCAAAGTATCTGAGAGGGAAGGGCTTGGCTGGCTGCCTCTGTGACAGCTGGCAGAGTGGGGCTCCTCTGCATCGAGCACCAAAGCACCCCAGGGCGCTGGCTACGTGGCAGCTCCTTACCTGTCAATGCCCGCCGTCTCCACGTAGCACCGGCTGCTCATCCTTCTCCGTGGACAGGCCACCGGCTGTTATTTCAGACAACCAAGGTTCTCCCACAACATGTTGCCAGCCGGCATGAAGAGGGAATCTGGGTCTTTCCAGAAGCTCTGGACGGTACAGGAGCCGCCACTCACACGCAAGCAGAGGCCACTTCTTCTTAAGAATCTGCTGTCAGCCAAGGAGTGGTCACTTTCTCTTCCGAAGGAACCAGCACTGCCCAAAGAACACCAGCTGTCCCTTCCGGAGAGTCAGCCACAACCTTCAGCAACCGAGCCATTGCCTTTGGGCCAGCCGTTTTCGGGCAGCCAGACAGAATCCTCAGAGGAGAAGGCGTCATCTGGGAGCACCCCAGTACTCGGGGAGAGCCAGCCATACATCTCCCCAGAGGAGCCCCACGCCGCCAAGGAGGGGACAGTGGCGGAGACTCTGCCGAGTACAGAGGACTCATCTTCATAGGGGCAGCCTGTGGAGGAGGAAGAGGCCTGGCCCACGGAGAGGCAGCCGGCGCCCAGCGAGGACCAGTTTCTCTGAGTTGGTGAGGGGCAACCCTGCCCCCAGAGGACCATTCATTGCCAGTAAATGTCAAGCAGCCAGCAGGAGGCCTTCCTCCAGTGACAAGGACACTGCATTCTTTTCTTTTTGTAATAAACCAAGGTGCATCTGACCCCGGGGCTTGGTTAGGCTCACTCTGTTTCTACACTTCTTTCTGTGAAGCCACATGGAATAGTCTTTCCTGGATTTTTAGATTAGAACACTAAAAATAGAAAGAAATTAGCCAAACAACTAAAAATAGAAAAAAAAAAGTAGCTGGGCATGGTGGTGCATGCCTGTAGTCCCAGCTACTCTGAAGGCTGAGGGAGGAGGATTGCTTGAACCCAGGGGTTTGAAGTTGCTGTGAGCTAGGCTGACGCTACGGCATTCTAGCCTGGGCAACAGAGTGAAACTCTGTCTCAAAAAAAAATTTTTTTTCCAGGGAGGACTAACTGCTCACCTTGGGTAGGGAAGAACCTGGCCAATCAGTGGTAGCCCAGGGCTCTGAACTGGCCCCCACTGGTGGGTGGGTGACCTGAAACCAATCGACAAAGTGTGGGAGCCTCGTGACCCTGCTTTCCCCCTTTGCTTTGCAGGAGGAGGCGGAGGAAGCAGCCCCAGCTGAGGAAATTTTCACCGTGGAGCCCACACCCCATTTACATCGGGGGTCCCTCGGCCGGCGTTCCAGCTATGCCTTCTCCCACCGTGAGGGCTACGCAGGCCTCATCACTCAGGGCACGATTCTGCAGAGGCCACAAGGGAGCAGCAGTCAGTTGGTATCTGATTCCACAGTCTCATCTGAAGAAGAGCTGCTGTCCAGCCCAAATAGCTCATGCTGCCATTTCAGGAAGTTGTCGTCCCTGGGGAGGCTGAGACACCACCAGGGGGAGGTGTCCTTCGAAGAGATGAATCCCTCTTCCGAGATGAGCTCATCCTTGTCTGTGGACAGGCCACCGGCTGTTATTTCAGACAACCAAGGTTCTCCCACAACATGTTGCCAGCCGGCATGAAGAGGGAATCTGGGTCTTTCCAGAAGCTCTGGACGGTACGGGAGCCGCCACTCACACCCAAGCAGAGGCCACCACTTTCTGAGAATCTGCTGTCAGCTGAAGGAGTGGTCACTTTCTCTTCCAAAGCACTGCCCAAAGAACACCAGCTGTCCCTTCCAGAGAGTCAGCCACAACCTTCAGCAACCGAGCCATTGCCTTTGGGCCAGCCGTTTTCGGGCAGCCAGACAGAATCCTCAGAGGAGAAGGCGTCATCTGGGAGCACCCCAGTACTCGGGGAGAGCCAGCCATACATCTCCCCAGAGGAGCCCCACGCCGCCAAGGAGGGGACAGTGGCGGAGACTCTGCCGAGTACAGAGGACTCATCTTCATAGGGGCAGCCTGTGGAGGAGGAAGAGGCCTGGCCCACGGAGAGGCAGCCGGCGCCCAGCGAGGACCAGTTTCCACCTGAGTTGGTGGAGGGGACACCCCTGCCCCCAGAGGACCATTCATTGCCAGCAGGAGGCCTTCTTCTGACGACAAGGACACCACATCCTTTTCTTTTTCTAATAAACCGGGGTGCATCTGACCCCAGGGCTTGGTTAGGCTCACTCTGTTCCTACACTTCTTTTGGGAAGCCACATGGAATAGTCTTTCCTGGATTTTTAGGTTAGAACACTGGCCCCTAGTGGCCCATGGAGTATTTGCAGGGAAAACTTTCTTCTTCTTTGCCCTGGGGTAGGATCACGTGCGTGAGCTTCATTGCTCCGAAAAGGGAGAAAGGTATGAGCAGACTCTGCTCAATGGTCTTGGCCCCTGCCACTGCCCACCGGCTGGCTCCTCCCCCAAAAGTTTATCAACTCCAATTCTGGCACCATCCAGCCTCTTCCTCCACTAGGCTGCCCTGGTCTCTTCCCTTCAAATAAAGCTCCTTTCACTTTAGACTCCAGAAAGCAGTGGGCGATGACCACGTCCTCAGAAGCAGGTCCTGACAAGATCTACATCTTGGGTCTTGGTGACTCAGTGGCACCAAGCTTTTCCGATTCTTAACTGTTCCTGGTGGAGGGTAGAACAGTGTGCGTCAGCCCTGGGCAGCTCCCCTCCGGCCCGCCAGCACCCCAGCAGCGCCCTCCTGGCCAGGCCCCGGCCAGGCTGTTCCCTCTGCAGGGCCATGTCCTCACCCTTCGGTTCTCAGTTCATACTTTCCAGCCCAGCCCAGCTGGGCCTTGTGCCGCCGCTGGCTGCCCCCTTTGCCGCCAGTGTCCCTCCCCCATCCCAGCTCCAGAGGCCTCGGCTTCTCCACCTCTCTCCGTCTGTCTGGTCAGCTGCCGAAGCCCGAGCATCCAGGGTGGACGTCTGAGTCCCCGGTGTCCCCATTGTCCCCAGTGTCGGCGGGGCAGGGCCGGCCCTGGCCGCTGGGAGGCTGGGCGGGGCTCGCGTCCATTCGGCAGATGAGGGAAACTGAGGCTTGTCGCCGTCAAGGGGCGAGGTCATGGTGTGGAGGGGGGGCTGGGGAGGCCGAGACCGCCCGCCAGTCCGGGACAAGACACCGCGGTACTCGCCTCCGCCCCGCCCCCGCTGGTCCAACCAGAACTCCATTCGCGCAGGTCCAGGCGCCCTGCACCCTCCAGGCCCGACCGCTCGAACCTCGGGGGCGGAGCACAGAGAGGGTGCGCGGGCGTCCGGGAACGCACAGCAGTGGGGGCGCCCCGTTCACCTGGGCGGGCCGGGGAGGACGTGGCCGATGGCGTCCAGGGCGGCTGGCATGGTGGACCGTTAGCCCGGCGCCAACCGCCTTGGAACGCGCCGCGCGAACTGGGGACAGGGCCTGGCTGGGGCGGGACCAGGGCGGAAGGCGGGGCCAGGGAGTCTGCAGAAGGGTCCGGGAGGGGGCGGCGCCACGACAGGGGCGGGGCCAAGTGGGGCGGGACATGGGCATGGTCTGGGTGTGGCCAAGGCAGAGGGCGGGGCCAAGAGAAGCCTAGCAGAACGGTGGGTGGGGCGGGGCCAAGTGGGGCGGGGCATGGGGCGTGGTCTGGGGTGTGGCCAAGGCAGAGGGCGGGGCCAAGAGAAGCCGGGGTGGGGGCGGGGCCAGAGAACCTATCAGAACGGGCCGGGGTGGGGCGGGGTGGGGCAGGGCCTTGGGGCGGGGCCAAGGTAGGGGAGAGGGCTCGGCAGGGGGTGGGACCTGGGGGTGGGGTCAAGGTAGAAGGCGGGGCCAAAGGATCTTTGCAGAATAGGAAGGGTGGGGGCGGTGACCTCAGGGGGCAGCCAAAGTAGGGACGGGTCCCAGGATGTGGGTGGGGCCGAGGCAAACAGCAGGGCGGGATGAGGTTAGGGTGTGACCTGGGTAGACGGGGGCGGGGCCTGGCATCAGGGCGGGGCCAATGGGGAATTTTGTGGAAGAGGCCCTAGTGTGATGAGAACTCGGGGGTGGGGCCAGGATAGGGGTGGTTCGAGCTCTGGGGTGGGGCCACGATAGAAAGCGAGGCCCGATAGAGTCTTCCTCAGGGAGGGGACCTGGGGGCCAGGCCAGATTAGGGGGCGGGGCCTGGGGTCTGTGGAGCAGCAGGGCAGGGCTGGGGCCTGCAGGGAGCCCAGGGTGTGTGAGGGCAGGGCGGGGTTCGGAGGTCTTGTAAAGCAGGGCTTGGGAAGGGTCTGGTCAGGCCAGGAAGGCCACGCAGACTGGCCGGAGCGGAAGTCTGCAGGGCAGCGAGGGATCAGGGAGGAAGGACGCGCAGGGAATCACAGGTATGTGTGTGAGGCCCATACACCTGGATCTGTCGCTCATCCATCCCATACATGTTAAATGAACGCCTGCACTTAGCAGGTGCTGGGCGCCCGGCTGGGCTTACAGCCTCTGAGCCCATCCGGAGACCAGGGGGAAGCCCACAGGGTCCTGTCCAGAGCGGCACCCACCCAGCTAGCCCGGACGGGCTCGGGGCAGGGCCTTCCTGGAGGACTTTCTCCCCTCCAGAAATCTGTGCTCAGGCGTCAGACTTGGGCCCCCAGGTGCTGGGGCTGAGGGTCCCTCAGCATCTCTGTTCCATGAAGCTCTTCAGCTTGGCTTTTTTCTTTCTTTTTCCTTTCTTTCCTCTTTCCTTCTTTCTTCTTTGAGACAGGGTCTCACTCTGTCACTCTGGCTGGAGTGCAGTGGCATCATCATATGTCATTGCATCCTCCAACTCCTGGGCTCAAGTGATCCTGCTGCCTCAGCCTCCCAAGCCGCTGGGACGACAGGTGCCCAACGCCACACCGGCCAGTGTGTATACTTTAAATGGAAATTGAAGGCCTCAGCACCCCTGAGCCTCCCCTCACCAAGCCAGAACAATTCACAAATGGAGTCCACTCAGCTGAGGCTGCTTGGAGCTGTGTGTGTGCTGCAAACTTTGTGGCTTTTGCTGGCAGGGTGACAGGCAGCTCTTGGTGGGCTGGGGTGCCCACCACTTCCCTAGGACATGCAACACGAAGCTTCCCTCCTGGTATCCTTAAGTCGCCTGACAGTCTCTGGGCACTCCTATCCCCGCCGCCGCAAGAGAGGCTAACTCCATTCCCAGGGCCCAGCCCAGTGCGCCTCACACCCTGTGCCAGCCCGAGACCCCCTTGCAGGAAGCTAGACTGCGATCTGTGCCCCTGCACGTTTGTACTGTGGCCAAAAGGGAGAACAGGATTGTGCTGTCTCCCCGTACTGCCCCCCAATGCCGTCGCCTCCTCTGCCCTTTTATAGGGGTCACTAGTTTCTTCTAGACTGCGGGGAGGGTCCAGGCATCTCCCTCAAACAGTGCTCAGGTAGCTCATTGCGTGTGTGTGTGTGTGTGTGTGTGTACATTCGAGCATTGGGGGGGTGTCCCCCACAAGCCGCTGTGGTCAGCTTGGGGTGTCACTCCCCTCCTCCCGAAGGACCCTGGAGGGGGCCGCTGAGCCTCCAGCCCGGTGCCATGGAGCACCGGGACAGTGCACCGGGCCCCAGCCACAGCTGCAAAGGCTGGGCCAGCCGTGCTCAGCCCAGGCCCAGCGCGCTTCTTTGTAGTTGGGCCTGAGCGATCATACCCCCTCCTGTGCTCCTGCAGCTGGCAAAGGTCACCCAAGAATGGTCGAGGAGGGGCGGCCCGCAGGGCCCTGGGCTCTGGCTGCCCCGAGGCTTTCACACTCAGCAACTTCACTCCTGCCTCGGGGCGCGCTCTGCATGCCTTGCCTTTTGGTTCTGTCTCTGATTTCTACTTCTCTCTTCACTCTATTGGGACAAAGGGGCTCTATTTATTTGTCGCTTGCTTTTTCATTTCCTCGGTTTCTCCCCAAGCTTTGAA